TTTAAACCAAATATGGTATGTTATTCCCTTTTTATGAAGTTGAAGAACAGGCAAAACTAACTTATGCAAGATAGAAATCAGAATAATGGTTTTCTTTTGAAAGTACTGACTGAAAATGGACATGAGGGAGCTTTTTCCTATTTTTTTAAATTTCTAAGTGCTATACCAACCAGAGGGAGCCTTTTTAGACTTTGAAAATATTTTAAACATTGATCTACATACTGCTTTTATAGCTATATATGTAAAAATTCATCATGTTACACACTTAAGATCTGTGCACTTTACCATCTATAGATTTTATATTTTTTAAAAAAGTTATACAAACAAGATCCCATTTTCCTATTATTAGCAGACATTCCTGATTTCTCTCACTTTTTAAAGAGATCATCCATAACATAACTCTCATTGTATTTTATCAAAATTCTCCATATATTTGTATTAGTAGTGGGTTTTTACAACACCCAGGCCACAGTAACGTTGAATGTGTAAGTTGTGTGTTACTCTTCTAATTCTGATACTGTTTTTGGATACCTAAGTATTGTTTAAATATTCCAGCTGGATTTTAAACAAAACTTTAGGCTTTATTTCTGCTTGGGGAAGTAAGGGAAGGCACAATCATCACCACGAGAGGAGCTTTAGTGGTAGAAAAGAAGCTCTAAGGGCAATGTGGAGCATCGCCATGGGGATTATTGTGATTCCCTAGGTGAAGGTACAAACAATCTCCAAGCAGTACCTCTAAAGTAGTTTGAGAGATCTACTTTCCCTTTCCAAGTGAAGATTGCCTCATACTTTGGGGTTCGTAATGGAGGATAGATGTTTGTTATTTTAAAATACCTAACTCTTTGTTCCTTTCAAGTGAGGCACACATGTGTTTATGTGAGGGTTTTTATAGATTGAATCATGCCCTCTCAAAAGATTATCTTGAAGTCCTAACCGCTGGTGCCTCATAATGTGACTTTATTTGGAAATAGAATAATTGTCATATGTTCATAGTAGATTGGAGTGATGCAGCTACAAGTCAAGGAATGCCAATGAGTGGCAGCTATCACCAGAAGCTAGGAAGAGGCAAGAAAAGATTCTCCCCAGAGTCTCAGAGAGAGCATGGCCCTGCTGACACCTTGATTTTGGACTTCTAGCCTGAAGAACTTTGAAATAATAAATTTCTGTTGTCTTAAGCTACCTGGTTTGTGGTACTTTGTCACCGTAGTCCTAGGAAACTAACACAGAATTATTGGTAAAGTTGGTGAAGGAAGGTTGGATATGGTCAGAAGATGACTCAAGGTTTGTCTTTGCCTTATTCCAAGACATCAGCCATGGGTTAGGAGCAGCTTAGTCCTGAAGTTTACTCAGAAATGAAGATGAATCCATTCCAAATTCTTATATAAGTCATGGGAGGGAATTCAATTTCCAAAGATTAATTCATATCCAACATTTCTGGGGGCCATCTGTTGTACAAAACAAGGTGTATGTATCTGGGCTTTAGCAGGCCAAAATTCTTGTCAGAATTGGGTTGTGATTTTCTTGCCCAAAGCATTTCAATTACCAATCTACCTGGCAAATAGGGAACAGTGTGAGTCAGGACACTCCTTAAGATAGCTTTAGTAAAATAAACAAGGACAAACCAGGATATAAAGGAAAAACTGTCCTTTCTGTTTTTCTTTTATTTCTATTTTTCATTTCAAATTCAGGGAAAGATTTAAGGCACAAGCATTGATGTGCCTCTCAAGTCAAGGATATGCATCTATTTATAATATTTTTCAGGGATCAGGAGAATGCACACAAAGCCTTTGAAAATGTGTGTGAATAAACGTCTACATGAACATATGGCAGGGGAGTGTGATCCTGTTAAACACTTGCTGTGTTTGGCAAGAACAAACAGCTAGAATGCCTGCTCACTTAGTTCTTCCCACCCCCTCAGATGTGTGAGTCTTAGCAGGTGGGAGGATCTGTAGCTTGCTTCCTGAGGTCCGTGTAGGAAGGACAAACTATAGCCTCAGCTGCAGCTAGGGAGTGCTTTGTCTAATGCTGAGGCAAAATCAGGACACAAGTGGAGAGTGCATATTGCTGAGGGTGGAGCCTAAAAAACGTGTGGAAAGAAGATGTATAGTGTTCTTAGGCACTGATGTGTTTATAGGGCTCTGTCAGTACTGATGGGCTCTGTATCTCATTGCCTGAAACACCTCCTTGTAACTGGGAAGGCTCTTTGGTGCATCTGTTTCTTTTGCTCTGGATAGTCTTCATCTTTCTGCTAGCTTATCCTTCAGATCTCAGCTTATATATTACCTGTTCAGGGAAGATTCACCGATCTCCCTGTTATCACAGGACTTTGCACATCTATAAGAATGCACTCAATTTTACTTATAACAATTTTTTAATACCTATTCTACTCATCAGATTGTATATGGTTCTGTTTTCCTAAAGCCTACAGGAATGCCTGACACATAGTAGGCATTTGATAAATATTGTTGACTAATTGGCAGCCCAGTATTTTCCTACTTGAACAAATGGGGACTTACAGTTCTTTCTCCCTCCACCCCCCCCAAAAGGAAGAATGGTGTGATAAGGGAGACTTAATTTTTTCCCCACATTTTCAAAGAACTCCTTTACATTAAAAATGGAAGGACGAGCTTTAGAAGGAAATCCAGGAAAGAATGGTGTTTTTCAAGGCGGAGAGAGCTCCTGATACTTCAAAAGTCACTAATAATTCAGGACTTTTCTAACACAAAATTGTCTGGGGATGAGAATTTTATCTCTAAAAATCAAATATGATCATTACCAAGGCTTTTAGAATTCAGTTTCTTACTTGCTGTGGACGTGACCATAAAAAGACTTCCCTCTAGGTTTTCTATCTGCTACCTTGCTAGCTAGCAATCCACCTATTAGGAACATTTTATTTTAAAAAAAAATCAATCAAATCTTCTAGGAGAGAAGACCCAAAGCCAAACAATCCTGGACCTAAATCAGCAAGAGGTGACAACTTCACAAAAATCAAAAAGTTGGAGCAGCACAGGCACATCTAACTTACAGAATAACTGAATTGGCTTAAACCAAAATGTAAATCCACCTTTAGATGGTGCCATCAATACCATGAGTTTGAAGTAACCATGAGTATAGTAGTACAATTTTTAGACCAAGAAGCTCAATATATGGACCCTCCTATAACATCTGCAGCGGGCAAAGGCACATGAAAAAGACTTCCTGAACAACTCAGGTGCTACTCAGCATTTAGGTATTCCATGGAGTTAATAAGATAGTTTTTTCATTAACTTATTTAAAAATACACTGCCATTGCACAAAGGTCAAACAAAATGGAAGTATAAAACATAAAATACAATAGTTTCTCTTACTGGCCATTTTATTTCATCCCCCCTTTGTACACATCGTTAAAGTTTGTGATGTCATTCAAATTCTTCTTGCATATTTGTGTAATCATGTTTGTATGAAATTTTTACTTACATGAGATTATACTTTAAAAATTTTGTATTTTGCACAGTATTTCAGAGAATGGGAAGAAAATACTGAAGCATTATTCCACTGATGAACATTAGTTTGTTTATTGTATCTATAGTGTTACAATAAACATTCTTTTACATACAAAAACACATGGAAGAAAGGAAAATAATTAGTGGAAGTGGACATACCACATGAAGAAGTAAGTCACAGAAGAAATTAAAATGGCCAACAAATATACAGAAAAGATGCTCATCTAGACTAGTAATCAAGGAAATGAAAATTAAACAATATTTTATACTCTTAGATCGGCAAACATTTAAAAGATTTATATCATTAGCTGCCAGCACGGGTTTAGGGAGAATAGAGTACTGGTACACACTATTGATAGGCATTCACAATAATACAATCTGTATGGAGGATATTGATAGTACATTTAAAATATTTAGCTGTGCCTGTATTTGCAGGCTTATTTACTAGGGAAAAACAATTTACTATCATATAATAGGGAAGTGATTAAATATTATCAATTATGGTATATTCCTGCTAATTGCTATAATTTGTGACACTGAAGAAAACCTATGTTAAAATGTTTAAAAAGGAAATTGCAAAACAATATGTATAATATAGTCCCAATCAAAGAAAGTGAGAAAGTGACTTCTTTCCCAAAGAAAGTCTCAAAGGATTCACACGATTTATGTTTAATAGTTGGTATGAATCCTGAGACTTATTCCCCAGAGGAAGTGAGAATGGGAGATTTACTTTTTTCTTTTTGAGACGGAGTCTCATTTTGTTACCCCTGGTAGAGTGCCGGGGCGTCACAGCTCACAGCAACCTCAAACTCTTAGGCTTAAGCTATTCTCCTGCCTCAGCCTCCCAAGTAGCTGAGACTAAAGGCATCTGTCACAAAACCCAGCTATTTTTAGAGGTGGGGTCTGGCTCTGGCTCAGGCTGATCTCCAACCTGTAAACTAAAGCAATCCACCTGTCTTGGCCTTCCAGAGTGCTAGGATTACAGGCTGAACAACCCTGCCCAGTGGTTTCTGAGGGGTTTTACTTTTTACAATGAAACAAGTACTGCTATTTTTAAAAACAACTTTATCTAGGTATGATTGATACAAAAGAAACTGTACTTATTTAAAATGTCCCATTTGACAAATTTGACATTGTATACATCCGTGAAATAAAAACAAATTTGACACTGTATACATCCGTATACCCCAATCAAGATTATAACCCCAATTTGCTTGTCTGCCTTTGTAATCCTTCCTTCCTACCTCTTTCCCGCCCCATGATCTACTTTCTGTTAGATTAGTTGGCATTTTCAATAATGTAGCAAATGGAGTCATACAGTATCTACTCCTTTTCTCTGGCTTCTTTCATTCAGCAAAATTATTATTATTATTATTATTTTTTTTTTTTTGAGACAGAGCCTCAAGCTGTTGCCCTGGGTAGAGTGCTATGACATCGCAGCACACAGCAACCTTCAACACCTGGGTTTAAGCGATTCTCTTGCCTCAGCCTCCCAAGTAGCTGGGACTACAGGTGCCCGCCACAACGCCCAGCTATTTTTTGGTTGTAGTTGTCATTGTTGTTTGGCAGGCCCAGGCTGGATTTGAATCCACCTGCTCTGGCATATGTGGCTGGAGCCTTAGCCGCTGGAGCTACAGGAGCCGAGCCTCAGCATAATTATTTTAACATGTTGTTGCAGTTATTAATAGTTTGTTCTTTATTGCTCAGTATTCTTCTATATGGATCTATCACCATTGCAGTTTATTTTTTATTTTTTTTTGGTCGGGCCGAGTTTGAACCATCACCTCCAGTATATGGGGCCAACGCCCTACTCCTTGAGCCAGGGGAATTCCTTTGAGAATCTTATTAAGGTCACAGTCGGTGCAGGGTGCAGGATTACACATATATGAAAAGTGCCAGGTAGGTATCACTCACTGAATAAAAACTGCGACAGTTCGGACGGAAAGGAGAGGATTGAACTTCGCGCATAATGACAACTTAGAATCGTTGGACCTCGGGAAGACGGAGAGAGAACACGACTTTTAAGTTTTAGGGACTAGGTGACGGTGGTGCCAGCAGAGCAGAGGTGTAAATTTGGCAGGAGGGAGAAGAGTTCATTTCTCATTTGTGCCTGTGAAGTACCTACACAAAGACGGAGCTGTTCGGAAAGTGATTGTAAATGTTCATGTCTGGACGGAGTTACAGATTTTGGATGCAAGAACATGTAAGTCTGAGTGAAATATGAGGAGCAACTGTAGTCATCAAGTGTAGTCAATTAATATGTATCTCTCGCAGCACTCACTTCCACAACTCACGAAAAACTCCTAACTCGTCGCCTTCACTTAATATTCGCCCCGCGAACTTGCACACATGATGTAATCCTCCTTTCCAGATACCCCCGCCCAAATCTTAGTATGCGCATGCGCCCCACGCATGCGCACCGTCCCCACTGCCGCCACTCCCTTCTCCGGGCGTCTGGACGCCCTCCCTCCCGGCCAGCCCCGCCCAGGCGGCTGCCCGTGACCTGCCTTGGCGCAGGGAACGGAAAGCCGGAAGGGGCAAGACGAGTTTAGTTCGTCATGGGGCTGTTTGGAAAAACCCAGGAGAAGCCTCCGAAAGAGCTGGTAAGGCTACAGCGGCGGCAAATGAGCGGGTGGATTTTTGTGGGGCGTAGTAGAATTGGTAAACGACCGGACACTTTTCCTCACCGGCTGCCCGGCCCCCATTTCCGGGGCCTCCCACTCGACTGAGGGGCCGGAGGAAGAGTCCTTACGGAGTCGTCTGTAGTAGGAGAGAGCCCTTGTTACCTCGCTGTCGACCAGGTGGCAAAGGGCTGGATGACGAGTTTCTCAACTTTGCCACCGGGCGCGGAGGCAACTACACCAACCTGGGCTCTGGAAACCCTTCCCCGTCCTCGCTTTGGTATGTCCCGCCCGGAACCTTTTCCCTGCGCAGGCCCCGCCTCCTCCCGCCGGTGTGTCCGCGGACCACCGGGCTAACCTTCCTTTCCCTGGAGCGTTGTTCTGGGAGGACCGGGTTTCGACCTCTTGGACCTTCCGCATGCCTGCTGGAAGGTCCAAGCACCTGCAGCCCTTTTTCTTTTGCCTCACAGTATCGACTGAGAGTCTCTATTTTCTCTTTGTTTTGCAATACAACCTTTTATGTTGATGTCAGACACATCAGTTATAGCAGGGATCTAACCCAGAAGAGTACGATTGGAAGATAGCTCTGGAATGGGCTTCGAACTCCGGCTTTGCCTGTTTATTGAGATAATTTTGGGAGGCAAGCGTTGAAAGTGGCCTGCAAAGGCAGTCTGCCTAAGTTGGAATCCTGCTACCCCGCTTCTTAGCTCTGTGAGCTTGGGAACGTTAACTTCCCTGTGCAATAGTTGTGTACGAATGATAAGACTATCATTTCAGAGCAATTGAAGATTAAATGATGTAAAGTTTTTTAAGTAGTGGTAATTACAGCCTTGCTGTTTAGATGCAGACCAGCACCGTAAATATTGCCCGAGAGCTTGTTAGAAATCTCGGTCCCTACCCCAAACCTCCTGAATCAGAATTTGAATTCTGACAGGACTTCTAATAATTAGTATATCACTAATGCCAGAGAAGCACTGTTGTGTGACATCTAGATTTGTTCATAATAGAAAAAAACCTAAAATCCTTTAATATATGATTTTACCTTCTTATCTCTGGCAGGCATATTTTAAAAACCGACTCATGCATCATGTAGTTTCTGGCACATAATATGTGTGTTGCTGTTAATTTTTTGTTAATTTAAGGTCAGTATTTTCATCAGGCAACTTTTTCAATTTTGCTCCCTGGTAAAATAAAAATTGTGGAGTTTAAGAGTGTAACATCATTTTGTAAACTGCAGAACATATACATATAGATGCGCATTTTGAAGCATGTGTATGTTCTAATGTGCTTGTTATTTTAGAAGTGTGTTTTTGATGGTAGAGAGAGTTTTTTTATTACCTTCAGTGTTTGGTCTTAGTGTTACCATTCATTGATTCTGGGTAAGCAAACAAAAATGATCCTGGAGAAATGGGCTTATTACTGTTTAAACTATAGTTTAACAGTGTAAATAACACTCAGACTATTTTTAAATGATGAATATAATTGCTAAGAACACAAGTTACCCTCCATATACTTTTTCAGGAGGGTAGCCTTCCTGGGAAAGCTAATTAACACCAGAATATGGCAGAGTTGATGTATGAGACTGGTTTTAAAAACATGCCTACCAGAACTGAACAAGTGAAATTATTAAATAAAAGGTTTTAATTTTTTTCCCCCATTATGGATAAGTTCAGGTGTTGTAGAGCAGTACTTCTTAAGCATTAATATGTGTACTACTCAGTAGGCATCGGGTCAGAATTCAAAATTTGATTTAGGAGGTCTGGAGTAGGGCCCAAGATTTCTAACAAG